CCTTCCTTCCTTCCTTCCTTCCTTCCTTCCTTCCTTCCTTCCTTCCTTCCTTCCTTCCTTCCTTCTTTCCTTCTTTCCTTCCTTCCTTCTTCTCTCTCTTTTCTTTCTTTCAAATTTCTTCCTAGAGTTTTTCTACTTTTTCTCTTAATTTAACCAAGACAAATTGATTTTTTTCCCCCTTAGGTATAAAGTTAGAGATGGAACATTCTTCCTGTAGAACTTTTGAAATTGGAACTGCTGTAAAGCCCAAAACTTTGTTGCGCTCACATGATGCTACAAGTAGACAGTTCCACACCTGGTCTTATTGGGACAGATCACAATCACACTGAAGATATTGAAGAAAATTACTTTAAGGTGCTGGGTGTGGTGGTGTGGTGGTACATGCTTACACTCACAGTTTTGGGGAGGTACAAGTAGGTGAATCCCTGGAGCTTACTGGTAATCAGTGTAGCCTACTTGGCAGAAACCAGACCAGTAGAGGCCTTGCTTCAAAAGATGAAAGTACATAGTACCTGAAGAACTATGATTCACCCATTATCATTTGGCCTTTGCATGCACATGCCTAACATGTGTCTGCACACATGTACCCAATCCCTTGCAATCACACACACACATGTAGCCTTCTAGATTGTGTATAAATTATGTAAAAAACAGAAGTATTTAATGCTTATACTTGGGTTTCATCTCCTAGCTACATTATTATATATATGCAAGTGTTGCAAAGCCTAAAGAAATATGTAAAAATCTCAAATTCTCCTTAAGGGCTCCTGCCATAATTTATCAATCATTTCATTGTTTGGAAATGCATTTTTAAATTTCAAAATGTTATTATGCCACATTATAATGACCTTAATAAATTTGTATATTAATTTGAATGGATTTGAAATACGTAATTAGAAGTTAGGGACATCTGTTGAGTCTTAAGATTCTTAGGCTAATTGCGATGCATAGTTCCAGGACCTCAGATGATAATGATTACTTAGATGCCTAATTTCTTTGGAAAGCAACATCTTGGGCTGGGTATGTAGCCCAGTGGTAGCAAGCATTTGCCTACCATGTATGCGGACCTGATCTTGATTCCCTACACATTTGGAGAAGGAGTAAGGAGGGCTCTTTGTCTTTCTTTGATGGAGATTTGCCAACTGCTTTTGTCTCATCAGATAGGTTTATTGACATTTAAGAAAGGGGATATAGGGTAAGGTGGGCAGTTTAGTTAACTGAGTCTGAGATGGAGCTCCAGGGAGATGGTGTTAGAAAAGGGGTTACACAATGCCTTTTGCACTCCACAAGGATGCTTTTGGCACAAGGCCACTTTCTGCTATTTGGCTTACCTTCGAGCTGTATGGAGGCAGGTAGTGTATACTAAGGAAATGTGTAAGAAAGACATGTGTATTTACCAAAGCTGATAGTTGTGCTCTTATGACTTTAAGGGCCACTTCTGTAATAGTCAAACATACTGTTTACCAATTGTGTTTTCTTTCAGTAATTCTTTAGTTTTTCCTTATGTGTTTACATCCTTTTTAGGGTCTGAAAAAACAGAAGTGATGGAATCTAATTGTATTGACTAATTAAAGTACCTGAAAAAAACTGACAAATATTCAATGGACCAATGGAAGGGATGATCTAAGCTTTTGTCGTTTTGTAACCTTTTTCAGTTTCCTTTTCTTTTAATCAGTTTCATAGACGAATTTACAAAGGAATTCCACTCCAGCTCCGAGGTGAAGTTTGGGCTCTTCTTCTTGAGATCCCTAAAATGAAAGAAGAAACAAGAGACCTTTATAGTGTGAGTATCTAAACTAACTATGACTTTGAAATTAAAATCCAAAATAATCAATTCCTCATTTTGAAGGTGCTATGATATTCTCCTGTCACGTGAAATTGTATTGAGATTAAGATCCTCTGAGCTTTTGTTGCTTACTATTTTGATTTGTTAATGCCTTCTAACTCAGATTTTCAGTGAAAGTACTGTCTGTATCATTAGACATTGATAGCGATCCACTAGTGACAGGGCATATTCATAAGGAAAACTGACTTACACTTGATTGTTCTCTGAGCAGGGAGATTTGAATCATGTTTGAGTTTATGGGAACATACAAGCAGAACCTCATTCTCCATTTTCTAGCACCTGCCTGTCTGTGGTTGTTCAGTAGGGCTGAGTAAGGAAAAGTCTGTTCCCAAGACCTTTTGGTTTTCCATCTTATTATTTATGAATTTAAAAGTTAAACCTTTAGTTGAGTGATGAGCGCTTTCCTTAAATTATGTAATGATTAAATATACCTCCTTATCATTTCAGCCATACTTTTTCTCAACCTAAGTTTATATTAACCTTTGAAAAGGATAGGAACTTTACATTTAAAATTCTTAGATCTATAGTTTTTAAAACATGTTCCTTAGAAAATATATTTAAATAGACCGAATTACAACAGAACACATGGGGGGGGGGGGAATCAGTTTAAACCCAGCTAGTTGTAAAAGCACTTCCATGCCTTTTGATGTTTTCTTTTCCATGTATGAGCTCAGAGGAAAGATACTAAGCAGCAGTGTGAGAGTCACTTGATTGTGAGAATACAAGACTTGATACAGGGAGTACATCTGTGTCTCTGAGTATGAGAGCTTGAACTTCATTTAGACTACTAATAAGATATTAAGTGTTGAGGTTAGAGCCCGTGTTAAAGTAAAGTATGCCTAAGAGAACATATATATAACTTGAGTCTAGAACAGTGTACCCAGTAGCACTGAGCATAGTAGGTGCTCAGTAGTATCTGGTTAATGAACGAACACAGACAAGAATGAGAATACAGAGGGCTTTTATCTGTGCACCATATTCATTTCCAGGCTGCTAGAGCCGAAAGGTGTTACCTGGTGACTAAATACCACAGCAGTCTATTCTGTCACAGTTCTAGAGGTAGGGTTCAGAAGTTAGTGTTCCTACGGGACATGGCTGCTCCTCAGGCTGCTGGGAAGGGAGACTCCTGGTCTGCCATCTTCTGCTGGCTGCCCAACTTCTTGGATGGTAGCCATTGGACTCAAGTTTGTTTGTTTGTTTTGGGTTTTGCTTTTGTTTGTTTGTTTGATTGGTTTGAGACAGGGTTTCTCTCTGTAGCCTTGGCTGTCCTGGACTCGCTTGGTAGACGAGGCTGGTCTCCAAATCACAGAGATCCACCTGCCTCTGCCTCCCCCAGTGCTGGGATTACAGGCTGCACCACCACTGCACTGGCTGGACTTAAGTTTTACTGTAGTGTAGGTCCTATCTAAGCTAATGGTGTCCTCAAAGTCTGTTTCCAAGTAAGGCCACATTCACTGGTCTGTATAGACAAAAACTTGGGCATACTTGCCAACCTAATATGTTATGTATATATTTTTCTATATAAAGTTATCCTATGACTAGTTAATGAAAGGTAGTGGTTTAATAAACCCAGGAACAACAAAACAAATGAGAGTTAGAGCTTCTAGGCTTGGCATTCAATTCAGTACCTTCAGACACTACAAAATTACTGTTGAATTCCCCTTGCGATCATGTCTTCCTCTGACCACACTTTTCTTGTCCTACTATAAAAGGGGCTGATGCTTCTGTCTACACATCACTATGAACTGGTTCCTCCTCATTTAATTTAGATGGAGGCTGGCATGTTATGTACATATAGCCTCATAGAGTTTGTCACCTGAGGACTTGTGTGTCCCTTCTTGGAGCAGAGCTCTGTGTGCTGTTAAGTAGCACAGAGATAAACAGGGTGCAGTGTCCAGAATTGTTAATCTCTGTGAGATGACACTGTATGGAGATGCTTACATTTAGCAAAATGAAAGCCTTTTCTGACCTGAAAGGAGAAATAAAAAGAAATAGCTTTTGTTGTTCAGGAAGTCTTGGTGGAGCAGAAAGTGGGGGAGGGGGAGACAAAGAAGATGGAGTTTTCAAGGCACTTTGGAATGTACTTTCTGATTCCCTCTCTCCTTGGATCTGGTTGGTTTTAATTTGAAACATCATATTACTGTATTTTAAAAACATCTTTCCAGTGCCACCTTGAGAAGAGTTGAGCTTGTTTGAATACTTCATGGGCATTGTCGGAGTGCTCTACATGAATTGTCTTACTTAATTATAGCACCAGGCAGGTTTTACTCCTGTTTTCTGTACAGGGACCTGAGTTTAATAAGGTTAAGTAACCTCTCACCAGGGTGAGCAAAGAAGAAACAGGATTTAAAATGTAGTCAGCTCTGGCTCTGAGCCAGGATGCCCCTTTTTCATTTAATCATACCACATTTGTTTTTATCTGTCTATCTTGTATTTAGCAGCAGACTTTAAAATGGCAGAAGGTCTGTCCACCACAGTTACAAAATCGCCACAGCGTGAGCTGGCTCAGGGTTCTGGAAGGAACCCCACAGAGACATTGTTGATCTTTCATCTCACTGCCTTTCTCTCTGTCACTGCCTTGGCTTGGGAGGCTCATTAGGAACATTCATTAATGAATCGCTGTGAATGTAGATCACCCAGTCTTCGGTGACTGAGTTTGCTTACTTTGTTTCCTTGTGTGTGTGTGGGGGGGGGGGGGGGGGGGGGGGGTGGGGGTGGGTGTTTTTTTTTTTTTTTGTTTTTGGGGGGGGGGGGGGGGGGGGGGGATGGATAGGTAGGGCTGTGCTATTTTTGTTTCTCTGTGTCTTATGCATTAACTTGAAAACATTTTAAGATGTGAGTAATATTTCTGCCCTATAAACTTTTACCTACTTACCTGGGTCTTTCTTCTGTTGTAAGATTTTTGGTGTGATTTTCCTGTCTTTAAGAAAAGCCAGTATTATAGATCTATTTGGGTCTTTTTTTCTCTGGCTAAATTTTATTTTATGACATTTTTGTCATATCTTAAACATTTTATTCCTATGTTTTGACATCTCAGTTTTTACCAGGAGACCTTTACAATAAGAGAGGCTTCTGTGCTTGACCATTTCCTTAACAATATAAGATATTTAAAAATCAATTTATACAGATTGCTGTTTATACAGCGTCATGTTTTTGTTTGGGTATTTTGTAGTGCTGAGGTTAAAACTTGGGGCCTCCCAAATATATATTAGAGAACTCTTATCCCACTGGGCCATATTCCCCAGCCCACTCTTGTACTTTAAAAAAGCTGCTAGTCACACTAAAAAACACACTAACAACACTTAACATGTATACACATATATGGTAGGCCTATGTATATTCTAGACATAGCCACATGGCCATTGCTCCACTTTTTCCTTCTTAACTTAGGGGTTAAAGTTTTGTTTTGTATGTTTGTATTGGAGTTGATTTTAGTCATAATCTCTATTACCAGCATATGATAAATGACTCCACATGAATATGTGTCTATGGATGGTTATTTTTACTTAAACATAGGTAAGTACAGTTGTAAATTTTAATCATCTTTTTAGTTAAACATGGGCAATGAAAACAATCATTTAGTTTCCTTTCCCCTGAAAGGCAAATGCCGCCAAACTGACAGCAGAGTTTTAAAAAAGACAAACCTATAAGTAATAAGCAAATGGAAGAAACAGCATCTGTCACAGTTTGGAATATAGAGTGCAGACAGGCATGTAGTAAACACAGCAAATCTGAGGAGGCCAGGTTCTGTGCTGGCAGCAGGAACCTGGAGAAGCCACAGGATTTATGTCTTAAGTCCCCACAAGACTGGGAGGGGTACCTGCAGGCTCCCCTGGAAGTGTGGGTGAAGCTGAACACTGACACGGTTGAAGGTCTGTGGGAGAAGCAGTCTCCTTCAGCTCAGGTCTCCTTCAGCCCAGGCCCAGGGCTCTGGGCGTTCTCTCACTGAGATAAGGCGGAGCAGCAGTTGTCCTGGCTGTGTAGCAAGTGCAATGCCCTAGACTTCAGAAAGTTCACGTTTACCCAAGAATACCAGCCTGTGGCCCCAGAAGAGCTGGGAAGAGATTCTCTGGGATATGTGACCAGGACAAGAGAATAAACCCGAAGATCTAGAGGTCCAGTGGCCACTCTTCAGCTGCCCTTCTCCATCCCTGCCTTACAGTGGAGATCCGGGCACACAGCTTTGTTTAATGTTTTACTTTCATGTAAAAGCAAATAACAATATGGATGAAATGCAAAGTAAATAACCTATGATTAATATAAAAAAATAAAAAATGAAAAAAAGCAAATAACAAAATATTAGTAGTCATTTGAGGAAAGGGACTTAAATTGGAGACAAGTAGAAAAATACACTTGTAAGAAACAGATTGTAAAATTAGAAGAAAAGCTAAAAGATTGTTGTTAATATCTTCAGCGAAATGAAATTGATATTGCATCCATAAAACAAGTATAGGAAGCTATAAAAAAGGAGCATTCTATAACAACAGAGAACTTTAGAACATAAAAATATACAATAGAAATGAAAAACTTAATTGAAAGTAACAATTGAAGAAATTTTGCAGATAATAAATTTTAAAGTCGTAGATATGAGCACTAATGGAGAAAAATCAAGAAAATGAGCTGATTGCTTCAGAGATCCCATACTGTAAAAACCAATAACCAGGAACAAAATGGAATCAGGGCAGGGAGGATGAGGGAATTGACAGAAGAATTAGGAATAATTAAAGACAGTTTTACAGAGATGAAAAGTGAGTTTATAAGATTGAAAGTGCCCAACTCTGTGGGTGAAAGTAGATCCAAATCAAGTAAAGCAATGGACAACTTCCAAACATGGAGAGTGTTCCTACCAACTTTTAGAGAGGAAAAGATCTCACATAAAGAGTAAGAATTCCAGCGGCAGCACAGAAGGCCAGAAAACAGTAAAGCAGTGCCTTTTGAGCAAAGATAATTTTCAATCTAGAGTTCTCAAACAGCTTTCATAGTCATTTGAAACAGTAACTTACCAGGTATTCAAGGTTTCCAGACCTTTACCTTCTGTGTGTCCATTCACAGTAACTGTTGGAGAATGTAGTCCTCCTGGGACAGGCCATATATCAAGAAAGGGGAGATGTCAGACCTAGGAATTGGGAACCCAAGCTCAGAGCAAAGCTAAGGCAACCTTAGCAGATGGTGAAGGAAGCCCTAAAAATCAGAGGCAGTGGCCCTGAGGATAAGTCACCCAGGCAAACGCACCTCTGCTGCTTTGGGAGCAAGTTTAAGAAGTTGGTCACTAGTCCTGGCTTGGTGGTATTTGTCTTTTATTCCAGCACTTGGGAGACAGAGGTATGCAGATCTCTAAGTTCAAGGGCCAGCCTTGTTTATGTAGTGAGTTCCGGGACAGCCAAGGCTACATACATAAGGAGACCCTGTCTCAACAAAATCAAAAAATGCAAAGAAAATTGCTTAGTGTTTGCTAGGCTATCCTGAGAAGTGTTCAACCCACTCAGACTTTGTACTGAGTTCCCTATAAGGATGTAGAAGGTGAAGCAAGTAAAGCAGTCAGTAACTCTAAGGAAAGAAAATGCTTAGCCAGAGAGAAAAAGGATGCCTCACAGAGTGTGTGGCTCAGCCATTATGATCCTGCAAGCCTTGAAGTTCCCTGCCCTAAATGTCACTCTTGATAGCATGGAAGAGAAAGGAAGGTAGGGAGAGGGCTTTGAGCAGAGTCGATGGGGCCATGAAAGGAAGGAAAGTTTTCTTTGTTTATCTTTTTATATTGTCTAGATCTTTCTTAGTCCTACCCTTTGCCAATATATAAATGAATAAGGTTTTTGTTTTTACAGTTTATTCAATTTGTATCCCAGCTGTAGCCCCCTTCCTCCCTCATCTCCTTCCTGCCCTTCTCTAAGTCTACTGATGGGGGAGGTCTCCCCTTCCATCTGATCCTAGTTTATCAGGTCTCTTCAGGACTGGCTACAGTGTCCTCCTCTATGCCCTAGCTGCTCCTCCCTTGGGGTGGGGGCACATCAAGGAGCAAGCCATTGAGTTCATGTCAGAGACAGCCCCTGTTCCTCTAACTAGGGAACCCACTTGGATACTGAGCTGTGATGGGCTACATCTGGGCAGCGGTTCTAGGTTATAGCCAATGAATAAGGTTTTTTTAAAAATGAGGATTATTTTTATTATTTATCAGACTTCCAGCAAGTAGTTTTCACAAAAATATGCTTTCTTTCCCTCTTTTTCTTCTTCAGAAATTAAAGCACAGAGCACGGGGTTGTTCACCTGATATCAGACAAATAGACCTTGACGTGAACCGTACATTTAGGAACCATATTATGTTTAGAGACAGATACGGTGTTAAGTAAGTAAAGTTTAACATTGTAAGATGTGAGTAGCATGTGTAAATGGTCTTTGTTAGAGTCTTTTAAGTTAAACCATGCTTTTAGAATGTCTTGTTTAGACTATAATCTTTATTTAGATCCTAAAGGTCTTTGCAGACCATTTGAGTCCATGTTGATTGAAACTGGGGTCTAATTTAATTTAACATTTTAAAACATTGATATAATGCATGCTGTAAAATTGGTAAGAAATCATTTTGTAGTCCTAAAATTCTTAAAAATATTTTGTGGATATTAGGGAGGCTGAGGCAGGGAGATTGCAAGTTTAAGGCCATTTATAGAAATGAGAGCTTATGTGTGTTTGAAAATTGTTAGTAAAAAGTTTATCTAAGTGTGACCTCATGAATAAGTGGAACTTGAAAGAAAATGAATTAATGAGGAGTTAATGTGTGGAGTATAACAGCATTTGTGCTGACCGCAGGGGGCCTGCCATCACTGTGTCAGTGGATGGGTGAAAAGGTGCTGTTTTGCTGACCTCTATCTTCCAGGGTCCAGCCAGCAAAGCAGAAACTGTGGAGATTTGTGTCAAGGCTGGCTTGACCAGGAAAGGCAGGCTAGAAGCAACAGTTCAGGCAGTGTGGATTGCCTAGGCCAAATTCCCCCACTCAGATTCCACAGACAGTGCATTTAATCACATGTGTGAAATATGTCACAGCAGTGCCAAGGTCAGTGTTTGAATAATGAGGGAGTAGAGCCTAGCTGCTGACTGTGAGAGCTAACCATTGCAGCCTGTCTGTGCCAACTTGGTACTCACACACACCTTTTTAAAGCATTCTGATTTTCATGTGAGGACAGAACAAATTTGTACATCTGTCTAGCATGATGCAGCTGTTTTGCTTATAGCTGAAAACACATTGGCCCTTTGTCCACAAGTGGATTCCAAGCCCTTTGCTAGTAGTCATGCCTAAATACTGTAGTATAGAGTTACCTATTAATACTTATAAGATGATAAGAGAAAGAATATACTAATATTTAGTCATTCACACCAATGCTAGTAATTACTGCAGTTATCCGTGCAACTGACCATGTCTCATGGTATTTGTAAATAATTTCTGTCATTGCTCATCCCTCAGCAAGGATCTCAGCTGTATGGCAGGACTCGGGCCTTAACTCCTGAAAAATCTGGATTATTAGCACTCTCTCCAAATTATGTTGCTATAGTTTTCCATAGCTTTCATTACATGCATACTTTTTGTATGTGCTTAGAACATACTAAAAATTTTCCGAAATATTCTCCTTTATTCCAGATGTGATTTCCTTTTGCCCTTTAGGTAGTAGCATCAACTTCCCTCACAGTAATCGGGATCAAGTCACCTTAACCAATGTAATCACCTCTTTTTTGCCTGTTGAGCCCACAGGTGACAATAGAACCCAAAATAGATGGTTGGCAGTTTGACTTGATGGGATTATTATTGTTACGTCTCCCTGTGGGCTCACTCCTCTTTTCTGCTTTAGTTTTGTTGTTATTGTTGTTTATTTGTTTGTTTGTTTTAGATAGGGTCTCATTATATAGCCCAGGATAACTTAGAACTTGTAATCCTCCTGCCTTAGACACCTGAGTGCTGGGAGTACAGATGTACACCACCAAGCCAGTTCTGTTAGAAGTAGGATCTCTGAGTCAGCAAAGACTGAAGTGCAAAACCCAGAAGGTAAAAAGTGTGGTAATGAGTTATTAGAAGTAGAGTGAGCAGCCCTCCTGCTTCCACTGAGTCTTTGACAAGGCTGTTCAGCTTCCTGGAAAATCTCTTCCCAGGTTGCTCCTTTCTGTTTGTAGCTGCTACTGTAAGAGTCTCCATGAGGGCATCCACATTCTGGTTTTGCCAGTGCCTTCAGAGTAAGCTAGCTGAATGAAAGAACACAACAAGCTTAAGAAACTCAGTACATCTGCACTCCCGTATGAAATCTTTCTATATGAATGTATGATAATTTAGTTCCAAATTTAAACTGTTGAGAAATCTGCTTCAATTTGAGCTTAGGACGCTTTTTAAAAAAAATACAATAGTAATTTTATCTGGATTGTCTATTTGTTTTTTGTCCATTTTTGTTGTTGTTGGTTTACTTTTAGTTGTTTTGTTTTGTTTGAGACAGGGTTTCTCTGTGTAGCCTTGGCTGTCCTGGAACTCCCTCTGTAGACCAGGCTGACCTCAAACTCATAGAGATCCCCCTGCCTCTGCCTCCTGAGTGCTGAGATTAAAGGCCTGCACCACCACCGGCCAGCTAGTCAACTTCTTATGAGTTTGTAATTGTGAAAGTTTTAACTAAATTGAACAAAAAACTAAGTAAATTATGTTTAACGTAAATTTTTATTTGTCTAGGCAACAAGCCTTATTCCATGTTCTTGCTGCATATTCTATCTATAATACGGTAAGTTGGGGCATGCCTGCCTAGTTCTTTGACTTGCATTTTAAGGAAATAGAGATTCTTTTTGGCACACTCTACCTAACAAGGCACTTGTCAGAGCCTTTCTTCATCTCCAGTGGCCTCCATAATCTCTTAGCTCTGGTGTTTTTATAGTTCCCATTTTGACTCCAGAACCTTAGAGCTGATTAGAAAAATGTAGATATGACCACAAAGTGCCAGTGAGCTTTACTTTTTCTCTCCCTGCAGATTGTTTTGTTTCATTGTGTGTTTTTGTCTTTGTTTTTCTTTTGTAAGCATGTAAGACTAGGCATGGCTGGGTAGGAGAGGGAAGGAGCAGTGGCCTAGTGGCCTGCTGACTCCACGTCACTCCTGGCAGGCAACAGTCCAGTATCCTAGTTATCACCTGCGGGAGGTCGATGAGGAGTGGACTAAAACTAAACCTTAAGTCTTCAGAAACACAGAGGTGACAAGGCATAAAACTGGGAGTTTGAGAAGAATTTGCCAACTATCAGTGAATATCAGTGCTTGTTACAGAATGAATTGCAGTATCAAACACAAAGCTTACTGAGGTTTTCCCCACACCTGCTTACTTTTGAGCACAGTTTTATTCCTGTACAGTATATGTCCTAATGCTTTAGAAATTGCAACAGTCATTTCTAGAATTGCCCAGCAATGCATCTAGGCATGTTCTGGTATTCTGTAGATTAACCTTTCACTTGTACGTGTTCATGGAGTTCAACTTTAAAGCTCCCAGTTTGTCCTCATTGTTCCTTAGGAAGTTGGGTACTGCCAAGGGATGAGCCAGATCACAGCCCTCCTCCTTATGTACATGAACGAGGAAGATGCCTTCTGGGCCCTGGTCAAACTCTTCTCAGGCCCCAAACATGCCATGCACGGTAAGAAAGCCTTATGTATACAGATAATTAGCAAGGGGAAAGCAAGCTAAAGCAGAGTCAAAGATGCCTGATGGATTAAGCACAGCAGATGTTAACCCCAGACCTTATTTAGTTAATCAGTAATTATTACTAATTTCTTGGGGTTTTAAAAATTACTAATTTCTTCTTTCCTTTTTTTTTTTATTAAACTTTTCTGTTCACATTGAGTTTTATTTGTCTTTTCCCAAAATATATTTCTGGCATTTTAAAATTATTTTCTTGTTTGTCGTCAGTCAAAAGAAATTAATTTATGTTTGGAAAAACTTAGAAAATCTATATTAGGAAAAATAAAAGGTAGTAACCTTGTGGCCAAAACACTGTTTTAATGAAATGGTGTTTTTCACTGGATGCTTTGATATAACTTTGTTAAAGAAGATTAATCAAGAAATGACACTTAGGTGTTTTTTTAAAGTGCATAGTAATTAAGTAGTTTTATATTTTAGGTGTGGCTTTTAGTTCTTCAAGCCATACATTTCATTCAGTTTTAAGGAAAAGGCTGATAACATGTTTTAGCTCTTAATTATTTAGTATTTCAGAAAACATAATTTTTTTTGTTTGTTTTCACATTGGAAGATTGAGTTTAATGGGGTTTTCCTTACATTTGTCCAGAAAATGTACAAGAAAAAGAAAGTTTTCACTTTGCAATTTGTCTTAGGCGTGAAAGTGATATTTGTTCACACAAGGCAGGATTCTGTGCTGTTTTGTTTCTGGTGCCGCCTACAGCAGGTTTAAGACAACTTGAATAGCTGAGGACGTCACCCCTGATAGAGCACATGTCTAGCATGTGCAGGCCCTGAGGTCAGTGCCCCAGTTAAACAGATACAGTCTTAGTTTCCCTGAGAATGAACGGCTTACGTTCACTTTGTGAGTACTTAAGCTTACCACAGTGGGGAGCCTAGCACAGAGAATTCTCATGTAAATATTTCAAAATTAGGGCCCTCCATAGTCGTAGTCTATAGTAAATGTGACAGGCTGCCTTGTCAGAAGAGTGTGCGTGTATGCGCTTCTGTCTTACTCCCCATGTTCATCACTAGTTACAGTCAAAACGCCTGCATGGTAACGTATTCTGGGAACTTTGGATGCTGTAAGTGGACTCCGGACGTGAGACACACTGTCGCCGCCGTCTAATAAGCTGTATCATGTTTGACAAAAAGAGCTCTTGTTGATTGTTGGTCTTCATGTGGCTACTGGGTGAGGTGACCTGACATGCCGTGGATGCTTCCAGCTTCAATGTTGCCGATGTTTTCATCCGATTTGAGAACATCGTATTTTCTTTCAAATCTCTTTGCTGACTTGACTCCACCAGTCACTGTCACCAGCCTAATCTTTAAACAGTGTTAATTGTACAATCTTATAATTTGTTAGTAAAGTGTAGTTTAGACCATTTTTGTGGGTGACTTTGTGCTGGAGAGATAATTTGTCTCTACACCTGTGTAGTTTGTGACTAGAGAATACCTCTGCTCTTTGTATTTTTCGTGTGAAAGTGTATCACTTGCAAGTGTATGGAATCAGCCTAGAACTGGGCAGAGATTGATCTAAAATACTGAGCCTAGGGTGTCACTGAAAAGTGAAGGAATGTTAGATAATTGTGGATGTTTAAGCTGGTTCATACTGAAGTACATTGACTTTTTAAAAATCGGATTTTTCTTGAAAATTTTCTATCTCCCATTCCTACCAAATTGACCATGAAAGTGGCTCCAATGGAGATATAAAGATTTTTAAATAAAATCATTTTAGTGTAAAAAGTATTACTAAGTGGGGATAGAATCTTTGGAAATTTTAACACACACCTTCAAAAATAAAAACAAAATATAAATGCAGTGTTTTGTGATGTGTTCCCTGGGTTCTTGAAGCATGCTGGAAGCCAATGTTTTCTGTTTTGGTTTTACTTCCATGTAAAAGAACAAGTACGAATTTTATAGTTTTATTAACCAGTATCAAGTTAAATTTACAAAATTATATGTGCATTTTGTTAAGGGTTTTTGTTAGAAAATTTACTAATTCAGTGTATTAGAATCTTTCATTATACTCTCTGGTGTGTTTAGAAAACCATTAGCTTTTAAATCATGTGTTATGTGGAGGAATTAATGGACTCTCAGATCAAATATGTGAGACTAAATTAAAGCAAAATAGGTTTCATTATATCTAAAAGACAGCTTAATTTTTATAAGCTATTGTCAGTGGTGAATATCCAAGGAGAAAGTGTATGACATACCTTTCCCTGAGTTGTTAGAAAATCAAAAGATGTCTATTAAAACCTCCTAGATGTACTTAGAAACCAAGTTCAAAAATACTAATTGTGGAAATAAAGTCCATTGAATATATGTTCTTGAAACAGATTGTATAAATATCTGAAAAGGAACTTATAAGTCAAAATAATTGTTTGTAGATTCAGTGAGCTAAATATGCAAATTAGTACCAATTTACTATTTACAATTAGGTACTTCCTAGAAATCCTATAGATTACAATGTATAACTTAAAGTGTCTGCATGTTTTATTTAGCCTATGTTAAATAAAGCTTATAAAAAATTGAAAAATTGATAGTTTTAAATGTGGAAACACAGTCGTGAAACTGTTAGTGTAACCTTAAAAACTGTAGTAAGATGTGAATGGCTTCACAGTAGAGCAGAGTGGTTGTCAAGATTAAACAGCTTATAAAGATATGGCCAGTGTTGGAAAAGGAGGCTGTTCAATGAGTGGATTCAGTTTTCTTTGTCTTTGGGTGTTACAGTTGTTACAGTTTTCCTCCTAATTTAGAAATAAATTTTCTTGGGAGGGGAGATAGACTAGACAGAGGTAGTAGCTGAAGAGAGGGAACAAGGTAGGGGAGGGGGCACAGAGAGTCAAGAGGGTGGAGATCAGACCTGGGGAGAGCAAGGGCGAGGAGACAGAGGCCTGGAGAGAAAACAGAAACTGAGGGTGGGGACATCTCTGTGACAAGCTGGAGACCTAAGTCAGGGTAGGCTCCTGGGAGGATAGGAGGGGGACACAAGCAGAGACTCCTGGTAACCGAGGACTTAGAGACTGAAGAAGACACCTAACTAGACTAGGTCCCCAGCAGAGGGAGGGGAATACCAGCCCAGCCACAAAAACTTCAACCCCAAATTTTTCCTGCCTGCATGATGTGCAAGGATAAAGATAGAGCAAAGACTGAGGGAATGCCCAACCAATGCTTGGCCCAACCAAAGACCCATCCTGTCAGAGAGTGCCAACCCCTGACACTATGAATGATACTAAGCTTGCAGACAAGAGCCTGACAGAGTTGTCCTCTAAGAGACACTACCCAGCAGTGCTTCAAAACAGATTCTGAGACTCAGAGCCAAACACTGGGTGATGCATAGGGAGCCTCATGAAAAAGTGGGAGGAAAGAGAAAAGGACCTGGAGTGACAGGAGCTCCACAAGAAAAACAGCAGAGCCAACTAACCATGACCCAGAGAGGCTTGCTGAGACTGAAGCATCAGCTAAGGACCATGCATGAACTGGACGTAGGCCCCCTGCAAAGATGTAGCGGATGGGCAGCTGAGGCCTCATGTGGGTCTAGTAAGGGAAGTGGATGCTGCATCAGACATGCATTCACTTGCCAGCTTTTTGATCACTTTCCCCTGGCAGGACTGCCTTGCCAGGCCACAGGGGAAGAGGACACACTCAGTCCTAATGCAGCTTAATGAGGTGGGGTGGATGGGAAAGGAAGCTCCCTGAGGAAAAGGGAAGAGGAGAGGGGGGGAAGGATGGGGCTACAACAAGGATGTAAAGTGAATTTTAAAAAAATCAAGTGACAACACATGCTGGAGATAATGTGGAGAAAGGGGAACCCTCCTCCATTGCTGGTGGGAGGGCAAACTTGTACAACCACTTTGGAAATCAATCTGGTGTTTTCGCAGAAAATTGGGAATAGCACTATCTCAAACTACAACTATACCATTCCTGGGCATTTATCCAAAAGATGCCCACCATTCAACAAAGACATTTGATCAACTATGTTCACAGCAGTTTTATTTGCAGTAGCCAGAATCTGGAAACAACCTAGATGTCCCTCAACAGGTGAATGGATACAGAAATTGTGGCACATTCACACAATGGAATACTACTTAGTAGTTAAAAATAAGGAAATCATGAAATGTGCAGGCAGATGGATGGAACTAGAAAAGATCATCCTGAGTGAGATAACCCAGAAACAGAAGGACACACATGGTGTACATTCACTTATAAGCGGATATTAGCCATCTAATATAGGATAACCATACTAAAATCTGTAGACCTCAAGAAGCTAAACAACAAGGAGGACCCTAGGGAGGATGCTTAAATCTCATTTGGAATGGCAAACAGGATAGACACCAGAAGCGGTAGAAGAGAGAAAACAGGATGGGAGCCTACCATAGAGGGTCCTCTGAAAGGCTCCACCCAACAGGATTGAAGCAAATGCTGATCTGCATAGCCAAACTTGCCAGGCCACAGAGGAGGAGGATCCAGGCAGTCCTGATGAGACTTAACAAGCTATGGGCAGATGACAATAGTGGAGAACTCTCTCTTTCAGTGGACTAGGGGAAGGGGATAGGGGGAAGAGGGAAGGAAGGTGGGACTGGGAGGAGTTGGGAGGGGCTTCAATCGGAATATATAATGAATAAATTAAAAATTTTCATAGTTTTACAAGGTGAAGGTGATAGCAGACAAATACTAGCTAAACGTTTCACTCCCCAAAATTCACATGAAATTATTTCCATGATGGAAGCATCCTGGTCACCAGGGGAGTTTGTTTTTTGTTTTTGTGTTGATAGCTACAAATACAATATGCAACATTTTTAAGTCAGGGAGTTTGTTGGTACTGTCTCTGAAGCGCTGTGTTTATGTTTATGTTCTAGGCTTTTTTGTCCAAGGGTTCCCTAAACTCTTAAGATTTCAAGAACATCATGAAAAAATTCTGAATAAATTTCTTTCAAAACTGAAGCAGCATTTGGTACGTAGATGTGTCACTGACTTATCGCTGCAAGTGAAGAAGCAGAAATTAATTAAATTCAGCCTGGGTTTCGCATTTTGGTTAGCTCACCGTGTGCTCATAAGCCTCAATTGTTTGAAGAACGTTAGATTTGTAAAATTTAGTATTAATATACTACCACAGTCCTAATTCGTAGATTCTGATTACTTGTGTGAAGGTACTAATAAAATTTTTATAAGTGTAATTTCTCTATTATGTTGGAGGTTTTGAATTTGTACAAAAAGCATTATAAGAATTATAAAACCTGGCTCCTTGTGAAACATACACATGCCTTACTATAAAATACAATAGTATAATGAAACAGTTCACTGTAAAATGCACTAATGATTGTGTTACAGTCCTATTATGGTGACACAATTGTTGCGATGATTCTTGGAAGTTAAATTTGGGGATTTAGAAATAGAAATAGAGAGGCGAGAGAGATGGCTCAGTAGCTAAAAGCACTGTGTGTTCTTCGAGAGGTCCCGAGTTCGATTCCCAGCAACTACATGGTGGCTCACAGCCACCTATACAGGAATCTGTTGTCCTTTTCTGGCACACAGGTATATATGCAGATAGAACAATCATACATATTAAATAAAATAAATTTTAAAAATTAAAATAGGAATAGAAAAACAGAAAGTATGAAAATATTTGTAGTCAGGTGGTTCTTGGCTTACCCTTGGCAGCCACCTCCGGCAGCCTTCCCCTTGCTATTGCTGTTTTGCTTCCTACAACTCAGAAATTATGAGGTCTTTGTTTTTTAGGATTCTCAAGAAATCTACACAAGTTTTTACACAATGAAATGGTTTTTTCAGTGTTTCCTTGATCGAGTAAGTACCTTTTACAAACCTCAATTAAGAAAGTATAAACAAGGTAAGGGGGCACACTAACATTGCATTGCTCTGCTTTGTTCTTTATTGCAGACTCCCTTTACGCTGAACCTTAGGATATGGGACATTTATATTTTTGAAGGAGAGCGAATTCTTACTGCTATGTCTTACACAATCTTGAAATTACACAAAAGTAAGGAAACATTTGACTTACAAAACTTTATGAAAATCAGGGCTTGTTTTAATTCTGACTAGCTTGGGCTCCCTCTACCTCATGCTTTTTTGTTGTTGTTTTGTTTTTATAAATCACTACTAGTTTTTAAATTTTTCTTGAAAATCAACAGGGAAATCCTGATTCTCCCTCAGGACTAGATGCTTACTCCATTAGAGAAGATCTTGGATTCCTTTTTCCTCGTGTCAGTTTCATTTTCACATTTAAACAGTAGAATGCAGCTTTTTGGTGTCACTAATAATATTCTTCTCACATGTTGGTTGCCACTGGGACCATTATTCTTCTAATTGATCTGAGTCTGTTTGTAACAAGGCAGAGAGCAAAGAAACCAGGCCTCCCAGATGGGGGTGGGGGTGAGGGGGAGTCCGTGGCTGTCTGCTCCTGTAAGAGAAAGCACATCCAGTTTCAAGCTCTGGATAGGACGGGACTGTGATGGCCTCCGGGCAAATGCATTAAGTGTGTGTTACCACGCAAATGCACCAACATTTTCAAAATAGAAATTAAAGGCCTTTTAGTCTTCAGTGGCGGTATTTCAGGAGCTCTGTGGATATGATGTGTTGGCCCTTAGAAGTAAGGAAATGTGAGGTTTTCTATCATTTTCATTTCATTCTTTTGCCTTGTGACTCCTTGTAGCTCTTTGGAAAAGTGAGTCTTGGGCAGGTTAGAACATCATGTTGTGTACCTGCATACTTATTGTGTGCCCTACCTTCGTATGGTTTGTGTTCCTGCTGTTTCTGGCCATACTCGGTGCTCTCATTGAGGTTGCTTGGTCACTGGCTAGAGCACAGTGAACACATAGTGCCACAGTAGCCACACTTCACCTGCGATGAGACCTCGGTGTCTACGCTTTTCCAGGGAAGCTGTCAGAAATGTTGCTGGCAACACATTTTCTTCCCGGAGTTGGGTTGTGTCAGTAGCACTGGGTCAAAGCCCTTTCTCTTTCTTCTCTCCATCTCCCTTGTTTTTTTTTTTTTTTGTTTTGTTTTGTTTTTTTTTTTAATATCACTATTCTTGTTATAGGTTATAAGTAGATCAAAATATACTAAAAAAGTATATTTAGAGAATAGTTTAATGGTCTCTAAACAGTACAAAAAGTAGGAGTGTAGTGTTATTTCTTTATAGCTCTCATCTCCCTCTTAAGTTATTTTACTTAGTGTGACTCTTTACCCTTTGAACTCTGAGCATAACAATTACTCTACTTGCCAGTATGTCAATGTCATTGAACTGTATATGCTGTGAAGAATTCTGCCCACTGGGCTGTCTTTCTTATGTTTAGGAAGCAAAGCTCTTACATCTTCAGTGAGTTTCTGTACCGCCATTTGAAGAGATAAGTGTTGAGGATCAGGGGACACGGAGGTGTTGCTCTTGAGCTATAAGGTTTCACTAGATGGCAGAGTAAAGTTTGGAGACCACTATGTGGATCTGTGAGCACAGTTATGTAGAACATAAGTAGAGTTACTGAGAGTAGATTTGAACTGATTTCCTCACAATAAGTCTGCTTGGTGTAGGCCTTCTGGCCCTGCTGGTGCAGCCACCCACAGTGCTGAGCACCGGGCGGCATGCCGTAGCTTTCGCAGGGTGTCACCTGCTGGCCTCAAGAAAAGAATATCTCTGGGCTTCCTACCAGCTGAGCCCAGCCAGAGCCCCCCTCCCCCCCCCCCGTCTCTCTCTCTCTCTCTTTTTCCTGATTGCTTTAAAACTAGGATTACTGGAGATTCATCACACAGTGGTTTTGAAACGGAAAAAAACATCAGAAGCAAATGTAAATGCCCATGACTGGACTAAAGGACCAGTAATAATGCTGCTCAGTTTATCACTGTTAATAATAGTTAGATGCTATTGAACAAAGTAGGGAAGGTGAGCCCAGACAGTGTAACTTGTGAGTCCATGCCCATGCTCATCCATGAACACAGCACATCTACTTGTAAGGTATGGGTAATGCCATCTTAGTGGGCACTGCTTTCCATCTATAGTTTGATTTTTTTTTCTAATAAAACTATTTCCTCAGTGGTAATAATACAAATAAAGTTAATATATTTTTTGAGGGAAGTTTCCTAACACTGAGTGTGGAGTTAAAGAAGACTTGTTAGTCTGAGTTAGAGTTCCAGCCAATAAATGAGATAATAAATGTTTATTGACTCATGGGAGCTCTTGCTCTAGGTTAGTGTCAGTGTCCAGGCACTGTGACTCTTAAAGGAGAAAGTGTTCGGTCATGTACACCTTTCTATCTTTCCTCCTAATGAGATCAGCCTGGTTTTTCTAATGTCAGAATACTATCCTACTGAGTTTTAATGTTTACAATGCTAAGTGTAAATTGTGTATGTATCCCTTTTAATGCCCTTTTAAAAACACACTGCGCTCAAATAGAGTATATCTTCTTTTCAACCTAAATAGAACTGTTGACTGACATTTTCATTTCTCTCATCCTTTCTTAGAACATCTAATGAAATTGTCTATGGAAGAACTTGTAGAATTTCTTCAGGAGACTCTCGCCAAGGACTTTTTCTTCGAGGATGATTTTGTAATAGAGCAACTTCAGGTTTCTATGGCAGAACTAAAGCGGGCAAAATTAGATTTCCCAGAACCTGGTAAGAAGTGTCCTGGCACCACACATCAAATTCTAGGATCAAAGGACATGACACAGTTAATACTGACTTTTGTTGTGGTTAGGATATGAGCATTGTACTTGGTAATAACATAATATCAATTAGTGTCTTACCAGCTGCTAGTAGATTTTTTTCTTAAAAAAAAAAAAAAAGGAAAGTTACATACTTTTTTATACAATGCATTTTGATCATGCCCATCCAACATTACCTCCTTTCAATTCCCTCAGGTGCCCCTACTCTTACCTTCCCATCTTCATGTTGTTATTAATTACCTCCTGATTCCTCATGTTGCCTCTTAGTATAGGGCCATCCTTGGGTGTGGGGGAGAGGACAACATACCAGCAGCCATATTCCCCAAAGGAGAGTGATTCTCTCTCTTTCAGCAGCCATGAACTGCCAGTAACTCCTCTGCCAAGGGTCAGATCTTGGGGGTCCTTCTTGTATCTGTTTTGGAATTTTGACTACAAAAGTATCTTCTCTGACCAAAGTTAAGAGCAACACAGATCTGTGGTATAAAATTTAAAAGGTGATTTGACAGCATGGTCATTTAGCAAAACAAAACAGATTTGCCCTTAGGGCCTATAGTCTTGGTGGTCACGAGCTTTTGACCAAATTTATAGAAGTAGGCATGAAGTCCCTCTTGTGGAACAGGACTCCTACCCAGTCAGAAAGTGAGTGTCACTCCACTGTCTGTCATGCTGTTATTGTAACAGTTGTACGTTTTGCCAGGCAGGCCAGTATTGCAACATGCAGGGTCCAGTGCTGAGTGAAACCGTGTTTGTCTTTTCTCCCCCAGTAGCCTGCATAGCACTTTCTGGCACTACAGATATCTAAAAGAAACTAATTTCTCAGTTAGTCAAGGTTGGTTCTCTGTGTCCTAGTACTGAAGTATCTTTAACAGTAGGGTCTTATCATCTAGTTGTGGTGGTGGCCTGTGTTGTAGGTGGTTCTAGGACTTCGCTGGCCTGTCACTGAGATTTTCATGTAATAACCCATGTCTTCTTTTCTTTCACACAGAAACATGTTGATTAAATATACCTCTATTCAAACTGAAATTTAGAAATTTGATTGACAAACTATTACTTAAAGAGCCATAACAACAAACACTTTTTACACTAATCACCTTGTTTGGGGAAACTGGCTACAAGAGCAGAACAAGTAAAGGCCTCTTGTAAATGAGGAAACTGATGCTTACATATGAAGCCCACAAACCACCAGATGCATCACCAGCATAGGGTCCAGCCATTCCCAACTGGCCTCTGTGTAGAGAGTTGCATATAGATAATGCATTTGTATACTTACCTTAGCCCTTTCATAGTGCTTACTATTAGGTTTCCTGCTGGGAACTTTGCCGTAGATTTGAAAACTGAACAGAAAGGGGTTTTGTTTGTTTGTTTGTTTTGTTTCTAACTTGGGAGAACAGATAGGATATATAAGATGTAACATAAATTGTAGTGAATGTAAAAGGGACACTTGTAGAGGTAAATATGAGATCCATGGGGACGTCAAAAGGCTAGTGAAAGGTGAGGGAGAAATAAACGGAGAAAGTTTAGAGTAGCAACTTTTTTTTTTAAGTTCAGACTACCTATTACTTGAAACAGTATGATATACTGAAAGTTAATTTTTGGTGTTTTCCCTTTTCAATGTTGCTCTAGTAGAGAGTGTGGTAAGGGGCTAGGAAAATGGAAAGTATGGATGGTAGATGAAAAGTAGGATCTGTTATTCATACAAACTGGGTTTGGAATTTCCTGATCATGTGCTCCATTTGATGTTCTTGTAAGAAAGGAAGCAGAATTACATTCATGAAGAGTTGTTTCTCCTTCAGGAAGACCAAGCTGCTCTGCTTGGACTTGACCGAGGGGTTTAATCAGCACTTGAGTCCTTGGGTCATTAGAATTGACAAGAAAACACCTCCTCACCAGTAGTAATTGAGTTGAGCATAGGCCTTGGGAAACTGTGGCCTTTGCTAAGTGAGGTCAGCCCTCCCTGTTCAGTGTAATGATGTCTATTTTCCACTAATTCTCCCCTGTAGCAGGAAATGCACTTAGAGCAGCAATTACTATACTTTCCCTATTATAACATTTGTTTTTAAATGTCTTGCCTATATTGAAGAAGACTTTAAGGCATTTTTAATAAAAGATACATGTAAAGAAAAAATACACACACTGTATAACCTGAAGTCCCCACAAATACATGGTGAAGTAAATTCTGAACCTGTGTAAAGATCATGATGATAGCTGCTTAGCATCTAATTAACAGCGAGTGCTTTTCAAATGTTACTGTGTAGCACATGTGTGGCATAGGTAGTACTTTCTCATTTGCTCCCTCTAAAAATAACTAGATTTATGCTCCTAATTTCATAGGAGTAGCAGTGATAGTTTGTAAAATAATTTTCACTAGGAAAATGAGAAGGTGGCTGGGAGATAAGAGGAAAGGGGTGGGTAAGTAGAATCAGAAACACTGGCTAGATCCTACTCCTATTTCATTGGCAGTTAAGGTAGACTGTGATAAGATTACCCTGCATCTTCTTGAACAATGATCTCTTTTCCTCAGTATTTCTACTCTGACAGTATTTATTTTCAGAATGTTTCTGCTCCATGGCCTTCCATTGTTTTCCTCTCTAAGTTGGGGACCTAACTACATTTGGAATAGATGCAATATGAAATAACATTTTTGTATAAAACGCTTCCATGTCATATCTATCCTTTAAACTTTTATATATATGAAATTTTGCCTGCATGTATATCTGTGCACCACTCGTGTACCTGGAGCTCCTAGGGGCCAGAAGAGGGCATTTGATCCCCTGGAGCCGAGTTACAGACAGTTGGGAGCTATCTTTTCAGCCCCATAGTCATCCTTTTAAAGACATAATAATGACATTTCCTTTGGCTCCTTATGTACTGCACAACATTGTATTTTTGCCAAAAGTATATGACAGGATCCTCGCAATATTATTGGTGTTGTGAAATTTTTAATATTTTTGGTGTTTGGGTAGAGGAGCTCATTCTTCTTTTGGCTTACATTCCTTGGGTTTTAAATTTAGTCTTCTTATATATTTATTTCATCATGTGTGAGCTTCTCTATTTGCCCTCTGCATTGTCTGTAGGTACACTCATACAGCTTCCTTATTTTCCCTCTGTGTATTGTCTATAGGTATACAGGATCCTGGAAGTTAAGGAACTCACTGGCATACTGTGTGTTTCAAATCCTTTCCACATACTTTTTTCTTATGGCTTATTTGTACTATATAAAGACATAGCTTATATGAAGGTCTCCCCTCCTCCCAATATTTCTCATAATTTTTTTAGGGATTTTTAAATGATTAAATCTTTTTATCAGATAACGAATTTGTCTGATTAAGTCTTATACACTGAGTGGGCATCTTACCTGCCTGTTCTTCCCACTGCATACTGTAACTGGGTCGGTTATCTCCACTCAACCTCCACAGTTCTTACTTCTCTGTATTTCTAGTTATGGTAAAATGGTCAAAATCACTAATACTTAGTTATTTTAATTCTCCTATTCTGTGCAACTCCAGCTTCCTGGAACCCAATCAGCTCCAGTACCATTTATCAAGTTCTGTGTTTTGGAGGCTTTATAATGTGTTGTGATCATTTCTCAGAGCAGAATCGGTTGAACTGGGGCCACCGACTCCTGTGTTGCTTCCTTTTTGGTGAAGCTGTGCAGATGATGAGGAATGGCCAGGTCATTCTAGGGAAGGCCAGTTCTTGAGGAAGAAACCCAACACCTCTAGTTGACATAGAATATTTCCTAGCTACTTGTCTGGCTCTTCTAGGGTTGAAATGGGGGTTTAGTTGACATATATGAGCTAGGTTTCTTGAGTGCTTAGCTGTGACCCTAACTGAGCTTGCTCCCACTTTGTTTGTTTGCTCTCTCTGGATTGATGCCTTTTTGATGGTTTTGCAGAAAGTCTAGATGCCTTGGCTTCTCACTGCATAGCACCCCATTCTTCCTTCTGTTGTTTATTTCTGGCCTCTCTCTTTGAGGTCTTTCAACTTGATAGAACTTTGTTATTTTATGTATTTATTGCTTGGTAGAGCTATGAACTATCTCATTGTCATTATGCGTCGTTATTACCAATCTGTAGATTACAGATGGGGAAGCCTTGGGTTCAAAGTTAAAATAAATACTCATCCAACATCATCCAGCTGCAAAATAACAGTCATTTTAGTTGATTCCAGGGGTGATTCCAGAGCAGTGCTGTTTATTATTCAAAAGTAGCCTCTACTGCTATGATTAGAGATTTCCAGAGCATAGAGGGAGGCGCTCCTTTGTATATATGCTGCTTCAACATTTAGTTTTTGGACTTCATCCATTGAATACATCTGACCTAAGCTAGTTTTTACACTGTGACTTAGGTTACCCTCTTAAAGCCTTCTCAGCCTGTCCACAGGATCTCAAAGCCCTGGAATCTGACCGCCTGCCTCTATTTAGTGCCTGAACCAAAGCACGTGGCTTCTTGCTTTGGTGCTTCAGCACTCACACTATTGAGTTCCTTGGATACAGCCACCACATCTCAGCATCCTCGGGGCCATAGGCGTGCCTGATACGTAACAGGCAGCCTTTTGAAGTTCTAGTCCTTTTTGAGATAGTAGAATCTGTATACAAAGGGTTAGCACAAAACAAATTTAGAAATATTGAGCCATTCTGTGTCATGTTTGTACATGTCAGTCTGTTTCATTGTATGTTGAAAATTGTGTTGTTGCATCTAGAAGTAGAAGGACATTCCCCAGGAAGAGCTCAGGAGCCCTGGGTATTACATCTCTTGGTGGGTTCAAAGAGCTGCTAATGCCTCTGAGGCACTTCACCTCCACCCTGCAGTAGAGCGTGGTGTCCACTGGGTGGTGACAAAGACCTGAGTGAGACAGGACATGGACAGGCCTGAGGAGACAGAAAAGGGACCCTTTCCGTTATAGAAGTTAGACTACTGTTGGCATTTTGGAACTTTAAAGACAAAAATGCTAAACAAACAAAATAAAAAAGGAAATAAACGAATAAAACTTTTGGTTTTGTCCTAAATTGTATTAAGTTACATTTCTTGTGAGTGGGGAGAGAAGATGGTTAGGGTTTATGTGACTGAACATGGGTGATGTGCCACCAATGTGGCCTCACACAGAGCTCTGATAGGGCATGGCTGGAGCTCACCTTCTGTGTTTTCAAGAAGAAGAAGAAGGGAAAAGTAAATTCCCAACATGAAAGCATGGGCAGTAAACACTGACTCACACAATGCTCTGCATAATGCATCTGTTTGTACATGACTTACGCTTGAGTCTTCTGATCACAGTTTCTCGGGGTTAATGAAGATGCAGGACATCAATTAAACTAAAGACCATATGTATATGTGTGCATGCCCGCACGTGTGTGTGTGTGTGTGTGTGTGTGTGTGTGTTCACCGATTTATTAAAGCCACTTTTGTGATGGAGAATACTTATCCGCATACATAGCATAACTGCTAGTGACATTTATTGCTCCTGTGGGGTGTACACAGTATTTCTTTGGCTCAATAAAAGTTGCATGCTTAATATGCACTAAAAAAAAAAATCACCTTTGTGTAGAAATCATGTAGGTTTTTCCTCTTAATTACATCATTATAGGGGTTAGATTGCTTAACAGAGAGACTGTGGGTTTGGTCTGACGATTGGAATTGAGACATCGTTTAGAACCTGCTTCTGTGAGGAAAGCCTTTCTCACAAGGTTGAAAAGTTCTCTGGCACCACCTGCATCTTGGCCTTCATAGGCCTCCAGTCTCCTTCCTCTCTCGTCCTCTCTGCTCTACCTTCCACACACTCCCTCTTTTCCCTTGCCTTGTACTGTTTTTTCCTGGACCCTGTTTTCATCCTTCTCTCTTTCCACACTTCATTCCTCTTCTTCCACAGGCTCTTGCTCAGACCGTCACTGAGATTTAAAGAACATGTGCACATTGATTATGGTGGTACTGCTGAGATTCATGGGAGTAACATGGTTGTGGTGTAACCCAACAGTTAGTCAGCAAGTATTTCTGGAAGATGTATGCTGATGCCACTGTCATAGGCTGTGGTAGTCTGAATGAGAATGACCCCTATATGCTCAGATACTTGGCTGCTTGGTCCCCAGTTAATGGAACTGTTGAGGAAGGATGAGGAGCTGTGGCCTTGTCGGAGGACATCTGTCACTTAGAGTGGGCTTTGAGGTTTCAAAAACTCATACAAGGCCTAGTCGCTGTCTCTGCCTGCTGCCTGCATCATGCATCTCTGGTTCCCACCATGATGATACTGGACTAACCCTCTGAAACTATATGAAAGCCTCTAACTAAATGCTTTCTTTTCTAAGAGTTAGCTTCGTCATGGTGTCCCTTCACAGCAATAGAACAACAAGTTAAGAGCCAGTTAAGTATCCCTTAGCCTGTTCCCTATGCACAGCAAAAGTGGAAGTGAGTGGACACTGTTTAGAATGAAGTACACTGAAGCGCTGCCTTCTGGCCCTGGCACCATGAGACCCCTCCCTCACTATGAAGCACTCTGGGCTGGTTTGCTTCACTGCTTTCAACATGTAAAGAAATTGATTTTTAAGAACTTAAATCTTAGGAGGCACTTTTCTTATATTCCTGTCTGTGGCCTCCTTAATTAAAAAGTTTTATGGGAGCAAAGAGGCCATGTCCTCTTAAAGGTTTTTTTTTATGCATTTTAATATGTTGGCCTTTCACACACAGCTCCCTAATGAGGGCTTGTCGTTTAAGAGTCAATTAGATATTATATCATTTTGTATGTGGCTTTTCTTTTTAGACTCTATTTTCTTAACTATGTGAACTGTGAGTGTTTGTTTGTTTGTTTGTTTGTTTTTAATGAGTGTTTCCAGCCTGTCAGTATGGACATGTGCCATTGCTCTAATTCGTACTCTTACTACTGATTTAGGAACTCTGAAGGAATGCAAAAGGAGAAGCCCCTAGGGGTAGTGGAAGTGTGCTATGGGTTAGTATGAGCAGCTTTTCTTGAATATTTTAAAACGGGCACAGACATTGTGCTGCAGTGTACATTTTGGTCTTTTATTAAGTCAATAAATGAAATATGTTGGATTTTTCCTTTAATTCTCTTAAAAACATTTTTTAGAATTGCTTAAATTTTAATTTTTGTGTATGGCTGTTTTGTCTGCACGTATATCTGTGCACCACATACATGAGGTTCCCACAGAGACTAGAGGAGGGCATTGGATTACCTGGAACTTCATTGAGTTCCTGGGGCAAGTCCAATCTTTGTCATTGGAGTATCTCCAACCAGCAATCTGGCAAAGAGCAAACGGCCATCAGTAACTAACAATCTGGCAAATAGCAAAAGCAATCAGCAAACAGCAAAAACAGAAGCAGGAACCAGCAGCAGCAGGAGCAGCAGCCACAGCTTCTCTTGGAGCTCTGGCATTTTTATACCCTCTGAAGAGTCCTCAGAATTCCAAATATAAACTATTTTCAGCTGGCAAAATCACGCTTTTCCTAGAGCACAAGACAAATCACAGTTAGCTGCTGTGGACAGTATAAAACAGCCCCATATCTCACACCTGGGATTAAAACAAAAATGTTCACATAACATAACTGGTTTTTTAAAAGAAAATAATTTTCACTATGCTGCTACTTGCTAGCAATGAACCCTTGGACAAGTTCGTCTCTGCCTTAGTTTCTTCACATATGAGATAATGAAATGATGTTCCTGTTGTTAATGTTGTATGCACAGCATTTTGAATGATGACTGACACACAGGGATTACTTAATGAATAGTAGCAATTGTGACTCTTATCATTGTTCTCACTTATTAGCACAATCTAAGTCTAAACCACTGTTTAAAATAACATCTATGATATGCCTCAGATTATAGAACTGATCTTTTCTTATTACCTCAGGACAAAATCCCAGGTCCTCTTCATAGTGCCCTGTATGTTGTGACTTAGTTTTCTGGCCTCCTCCTGGGTCCCTGCTGTCTCTTACCTTCTTTGGCCTTTGTTCAGAGAGAGGGTCTTATTCCTTCTGGCACTCTTTCCTGCTCTGCATCATCCCACTTCTAGTTTTGAAGTTTTTACCACTTTAATTTTCCTGTTTGCTTTTTTTTTTGTTTGGATTGGGTTGGAATGCTATTGATGGGATCCAGGGCCTTATACATGCTAAGCAAGTGCTTTGCCACATCTATTTATTGTCTTTGTCTTAAGAGTTCCAAGATCAAACTTGGGTCCTTAGGCTGGGCAGCTGTTATGCAGAACCATTCTCTGGGCAATCTGCGCTTCTGATGTTGGAAGCTCACTTAGAGAATGATGCTTGCTCATTCTCCCCTCCAACAAAGCATTGAATTGTTCTTAAAATATCCTACAGAAGTGGATCTATAGTTGTTATATACCAATTAAGACTTTCTATAAAGAAACACTCAGTGTGAATATTCTAGTAGTTAAAAACATAGTGTCCCCTTCCCCTCCAAAGAAATAGCAAGATTATAGTGACTGGGAGCCATGTGAAAAAATTCTCCGTCTTCACAGCCACCCCATGCAGATCATAGTCAGTAAACAGCAGCTAGTGGATCATTAAGTGCATATTGGAAGAAAGCAAAACCTTATTTTCAAGTGACAAAATGCTGTTTTATAATAATGGGTAAAACATTTTTTTAGTTTCTGCAAATGAAGTCTTCCCCTTCCTCTATGGTAATCTGTATTAGTATCATGGTAATCTGTTAATGTTGTATTTATTGCACCTTCCTTCAATTCCTCACAATTCTGTGTTATTTAAAATATAAAATTAGAACGGGCTGGAGAGGTGGCTCTGTGGTTAAGTATACTGGCTACTTAAGAAAACCCATCTATTCCCAGTGCTCACCTGACAGCTCACAAGCATTAGTAGGTCCACTTCTAGGGAATCTGGTATTCTTTTCAGGGTTCCAGGGATCGGGCATGCATGTCATACACATACATGCATGTATACATACACACACACACACACACACACACACACACACACACAGGCAAAACACATTTTTTAATTAAATAAATTATCTAATGTGATTTCCATTCTTTTTAATTTTTTTCCTGTCTATATTTTTAAGTAAGGTATTTTTACACTGTTATTTTTAGTTGGACAGTATTTTTCTTTTAAAAAATAAGCTATACTGTGGAAAATGCCTAATGATAATAATCTGGGGAGAACTCGAACCACAGTAAGTCCAAGTGACTTTCAGTTTTGATAGATCTGCTTGAAACTGAAAGCAAAGGCTTTACTGATTTTGGTTGAGATGAGTTAAAATGCAAGTAATGTCATGTTAAGCCTTAACCCCAGTAACCAGCTCTGGTTAATGAGAGTATCATATCAGCTTTGCATAGAAAGTGTGTCACGGTCTGTAAGAACATACACGAACTATGTGCTAGATAGTTGCGTGACCCTCGCCTATGAGGCTGGAGCTGTCCCCACCTGCATAGTGCCGACTTAGGTTTTGAGGTTAGCTATGTCTCAGTGTCATTTTTTTCTAAAAATCGATTCTTGTTAGTCACTATCATTTTCCAGTGTTAAAGTATGTGTTTCCACACACAAGACAATCTGCAATTGTTAATGTGTCTCTTAAACTAGATGCTCATCATTTATATATTTGTTTTACTTAGGAATTTATATTTCGTTTTAGGTAAGGAGGATGAATATCCAAAAAAACCCTTGGGGCAGCTTCCACCTGAGTCTAATTCTGCTTGTATTAATCACTTGAGCAATGGACAAAGAAGTATTGGCAGGCCCAGCCCCCAAATAAGCAGCAGAAGAGAAACTGGATCACCTCACAAGAAGCATGAGCGTTCCCCTGCGCACTACAGCAGAGCTGGCCCACCAGAACGAGCCGGGCGAGCCGGACAGAAGTCAGTGGGCGAGGAAGGTAAAACCTTGAAGCATGAGGCAGATTTTCAGAAAAAGCCTGCTTTGGGTACACAGGACAGCTCCAGGCAATATAACCACGCAGCTGCTAACCAAAATAGCAATGCAATTTCAAACATCAGGAAGGAATTTATGCCCAAATGGAGAAAACCATCAGACGCCTCAGCTATTGAAAGAACTGCTAAATATGCCATTGAAGGCAAAAGTCACTCAGTGCAACCCACTCTTACAGTTGCCACCCCAAGTTCTGCTGAGTCCCGAGTGTCAAACTCAAGGCAAAAGATGAAGGTTTTTGATGGCAGTGATGGAAAGCGGGGTTCTACTGCTTCACAGTATGACAACGTGCCTGGGAGTGAAAATGAAAGTGGAGTACCTGTGGAGGAGGCACCAGAACGGACTCACCCTCACAGTCCAAGGAAGCATACTGAGCCAAGTTCCAGCCCAGCAAAAGTCCCCAACAAGTTTACTTTCAAAGTGCAGCCTCCCAGCCATGTACGGTCCCCATCCCAGCTAGAAGGGGAGGACCTCAGGGCTGCGTATCCACCCTCCTACAGCAACCCCCCTGTCTACCACGGAAATTCTCCAAAACACATTCCTATTGGCCACAGCGGCTTTGTGTCCACAGAGATCAGCCCTGGGACTCAAATTAATTCTTCCAGGAGACCTTATGGTTCTTCTCTTTCAGTTGACATTTCTCCAGAGAAATCTTTCAGCCGCCCAACTCCTGTTGTTCTACCATCCAGTCGAATTGAAGTCCTTCCCATTGACTTTGGTACCGGGGGAAATGCAGGCAGTTCAGGGTCACCAAGGAACGGAAACTTCATCCTTCCTCCAGTGGATTATTTACCAGAGAACATAAAATGGTCAGAAGTTAGTTATACATACAGACCTGAGATGCATGGACAATCATGGACTCGAGAGGCTAACCGTAGCCACTTAAGCAATTTACCAAAATATGCAGCCTTTCAACACGTACCTTTTCAGGACCACGGCCTTCCAGAAGTATGTGTAGACAGTCCGGTGAGGTATAAAACTTCACCAGCTGTGGAAGATGCCAGTCCTCCTAGGTATCCATATGCAGGGCCCTCGCCTTCAGCACATCACTACAGAAATCGAGAGGGGCTTTCTGTTCAGGAGTCAGTATTGTTATGAGAGTTTGGCTGTATTCACTGATGACAAAGAGAATAGAAACCATACGATACCCACATTGCTATGTTTATAATTGCCAAAGCAGTATTTTATACTATTGTAAACAACTTGCATAGTTCAGTGTATGTCAGTATGAGAGTATGTGGGAATGCTTCATCCCATGTAGATGCTGCTGAAGATGAGTGTTTCAGTTGCTTCATCACTGAACCGTTAACAGGAGGTTAGCCTGGAACATAGCAAGAGCATTTAGGACGGCATACACAGTGAGGTTCTTTATGCTGTTTTTCTCAGATCTTCCCCTCAGACCTGAATGTTTCCACTCTGTTGATCCCTTGTGTTCTGACTACTGTTAGAAAGCACTGAGACACAATGGAGGAGATTTCTGCAGGCTGTCACTCGCCTTTTAATAGACGTGGCAAACGCCGGTGCAGAGAGATTTTGATCACAGAATTTAGAAATGTTTTTTTTAAACTCCATTTAATCTATATCCATGAAATAACAGTATTTCCCCCCCTTATCTTTCTGCCCACCCTGCCCCTGTCATATTTTAATTCAGGTTCTAAACTGAAACTGACTAAAGAGTTTGTTCTGACTTTATGAACCCAGAGTCTCACAGAATGTCATTCTCTCAGTTGCTGCCATTTTATCTCCACCTGAACATTAAAGACTGCACAGAAAGGCTGACCACTCAGTGGTGCCTAACATGTGGCTCAGTTAGCCTGAGTGTGTGGCTGGGGAGAGCACTCACTTTGTCCCTTATCTCGGGCTGTTTCACTGCTTCTGTGCCCTGGGTTGTGGTCTGGCCCTCGAACAGCATCTGCCTGGTCCTTGCCTGTGCAAGGGACTGGCTGCAAAGTGGGTGAAGTCAGAGCTTGCAGCACTCTGAGCGGTGGAAGGTTGCTTTTCACGATCATTTGAAAGCAGCTTTGACTGAAAGGCAGCTCCTCACTCCTGGGCCTCACGTGCCCAGGAGGACCATTCCCGTGGTCTTTTCTGGCACTCAGTCTTCACAGCACAGTGGACGGATACTGCTGCACGCACTGGGCCATTGCATCATCCAGGTCAGAATTGTAAAAAGAAGTACCCTAATTATTAATGAGGATTTACAATTTTGATCTTTGAAAAAAAAGTAGTATGTTTCATAGTTTTGGAAATTTTCTTTCAGTGAAAAATAATTTAGGTTCATGGTTTAGAAAGGGTGATTTCTTTTATGCTATCACACACTACTGACACCAAGTCTCTGACAAAGTGCTGGGTTCTCCAGGCAGATGGATGTCTGTGGATGCTCGTCTCACTGTCACCTTCTTGTATCTGAATATCAGGAAGTAGAAAGTCCAGCAATGATGTCCCCCTGCTCCTCGGTGGGGATTTAAGCTTTTGAGGTACAAGGTTATGTCTTAATGAAAGTAACATTTGTTTAGCTAGTGAACATAACAATATTTTTTATGTATATAATGATTCTAATGTAATTTAATCAGCGTGGTAATGATGTTATTAAGTGTGGAAGCAAATGCAGTATATTAAAGGTGAACACTGCACTGAAACTCCAACTCCTGACAAAATAACCAGGCTCTTGATTTAGATCATGCGGAAGGTGAGAAATAAATGTGTATAGAAATGTAGCTGAGGATATTATTACAGTTCTTAAAGTATGACTCTGTGATTTCTACGGAAACAAGCTGTACAATTAGTTTATGATGGCAGCATCTTTGCCTCTCCAGAAAGTATATATCTTAGTGGTAAATAATGTAGATTATATATATATATATGCAATATATATGCACACACACTATTTTCTTATGTCATCTATGGCATTTTTTTATCTGTATACTTTTTTGACGTGATTGTTTTTAACATGCTAAAAGTAATCCGTATATTTTGTTCTGTGTCTTCTGTATGCAGTTTTCACGTGGCAAGGGCTGTGTCCTGGTGCTTTCAGGGCCAAGCCGACAATTTCTCATGTGCTCACCAATAGCAGTTTAAAAATGCTGCAGTTCTCTGCTCTTGTTTCTAGTAAGACCATGTTTAGAACCTCATTGCCTTTCCCTGGCTCAAGTTTTACTAATGGCGGTAAAGTCTTCCCCACTACAAGGGTCTCTGCTTCTTTCTAAGTAGGAGATTTTAATTTAAAATTATTTTGCCATTATATAATTTTATTATTTTAAATTTATTTTTAAATAAAAGAAATGATAAGAGAAATAATATTGGCAAAGTGACTCAAAATATATTTATAGAAAACGTTTGCTGAGGACACTCCAGGAAGAGCATCCAGTTTTGTTCCATAACCGCATGCCCTAGTGTGTTTGCCATGGTTAAACTACCTCCTTCATGATGCTGTTGTATTGTACGCTTCTTAAGAAGAGCCCTGCTGAGCTTTAGACTTCACTAGTGAACTTAAAAGGCTTGGGGGAGAGGAGGTTGTTTGGTTGGATTTTTTCTTCTCAAGTCTCACCCCAGACCATTTAAATCGAATCTTGGGTGGAATGTAGGTATCAGATAATGGTATTTCTCTTGTGTCTTAGTGCTCTCATCTTGAAACTCTAAGAGAAATGCCCACCAAACCAAATTGTCTTATGTTTCTATTGTGGGGTGTTTAGAAATGGTTTGTTGTTGTTGTTGAAGACAGTCTTGCTATGTATGTCCCTGCCTTACCTTACTAGGTACACCGGGCTAATCTTGCAATTGAGGTGATCCTTCTGCCTCAGCCTCCACCGTGCTAAGATTATAGGCCTCCATCCTGATCAGCACATGGTTTTTGTGGTGGGTTTTGTATTGTTTTATTTTGTGCTCAGTGGTGGGGATTGGACACATGGTCTCAAATGCAAACACTACTGGATAACTAGCCATTAAAATCCTTTGTAGGTCAGAAGTTCTGGAGCTCAAAAAATGATATCAGGAAAGTTAGGGAAAAGTCCACTGGCAACAACATTATCTGCCATATAAACTTTATTTCAGCTGCTGGTCACAGCAGAGTAGCTTCACGGAGGGAAGAGGGGCCCCTCCACTTAAAAATAAAAATAAAAAAAGAGCCTTAAGATAGTGAGTTTCCTTCAATAGTCTGCTTTTCAAAACCCCAGCTATTAAAGATCTAAACAGTGACAAAAGCCTGGTCTAGTTATAACCAGTCAACGTTTTGAGCATCTAGAACTCACAGGTAAATCCTGAGCAGTTGCCATCTTCATGGTCTTCATGAATCGTGTAATGTGTGAGCATAGAATGTCAGTTTGGAGATGTAATTTCAGTGTTTTGTGGGTTTGGTATGTTTTTTTCTAGAACTTCTCTAGAACTGTGGCTGTCTTATTCTCTGTCATCAGGGCTGTTCCTTTAGAGCCTGTGCCTTGAAACCTGCTCTACCACTGAAGGACAGGAAGGGTCAGGGTTGCCCCTTCCCCAGGTGTTGGGGGAATTGGAGAATTGGGGCCAATAAGAATCTGTGAGTCGGTTTCAGTTTAGTGGTGGAGCAACTTCTGTTATGACGTGAGATTTGAGGATTGGGGGTTGACAGGGTCCTCACCTGACAGACATGCATCTACAGATCATTGGGACTTTGCCAACATAAGGGACCCAAAGTCACCAGAGAGTCCATGCCCCGGAGAAGATGCAGAGCAGTCATGCACATAGCGGAGGAGTTAGCCGTGAGAAAGGGCAGCGGTGTTCTGCGCATCTGTTAGTCAGGCAGTATGGGCCGGAGGCTGTCAGATCGGCATGGTAGGCTGAGTTTGCTGTCCAGTAATTGTGTGACTTTGAACATGTCCCATTGCCTTTCCTGGCCTCACTGTCCACAGCTATGACATAGGAGTGGAAGGGAGAACAGTCATGATTTGATTATTTGACTGACTGGAACTAGCAGTGATGGTGGTTTGAGCTCTGCTGTGCCAGCTGCTATTCTAACTCCTGGTAGAAGCCGTGATGTTGGAAACCCTTGTCTTCACGGAGCTTCCGTTCTGACCCACTTCCTCGTTTATAAACTGTGGGGTTTTGTTTGTGTGTTTTCCATGTTTCCTAGGATTGACTTGATTGGTTTGAAGTGCTTGGTGAAGCACTTATACCGTGTTGTTTCCTCTGATTACATGCAGTCACAGTACCAGGCCTTAGTGACCAGGAGGTATTTGACCTTCCTCCCACGGGGTTGAGAGTCTAGAGACCAGCCCAGGGAAAAAGGCAGTCAACTTGCATGAGGTACAAGACAGGAGAAGCTGAGTTGAAATGACTTGAGATGGTGCCAGCCTCTCACCCATGGCGGTGCTGTAAAATCCAGCAGACTTGCCCTTTGATATGAAGCGGAAAAGTCTGTTTGGATTTCACCAGGAGTGCTTGCTCACCTGCTGTGTTCCTCGAGCCAAAGTCAGATCACAGTGTTTGCAAGCACAAATAGGTGGCAAGCCCCTTAAAGGTTTGAATGGGATGAGATGGACAGTTACTGTAATGAAGGACAAGGTCAGCCAGGGGTGGGGAGGGAGGGACGTACTGTGGTGGAAGACAAGGCTATGGAGAGGTTGCTTTGCTGGCTGCACTCTCACGATCTGTCTACAGGTTGCCCCTAGCTTCTGGTCTAATTCCTTCTTGTACTCAGAAGTATTAAACACTGATTATTAAACCTTCTGCAATGCAGACTCAACTTTATTTGGAGGAAATCACAATCAGAATACAAAGCAGGCAGCACGGAGCAGATTACATATCAGCATCAACTTGGTAGAGCAGCTGTTTAAATGCTGCCACCATAAGTGGTACGTGAGGAGAATGTGACACGGAAAGGGCACGTGGGGCGGGGGGAGCTCTTCCACATGATAAATATAAGGTGGCAGCAAGCGGTGGCTTGCAGAAAGCTGGGGCCCTCTTGAGGGAGTTAATGAGTTCTGCCACTGATCTGTAGCTGCAGTCTTGGCAGGTGACTGAGCCCTTTTGGGACTCTGTTTTCAGATGTGTGTGCAGTGGCAAACAGTGGAGTCGGAACATGGTTCTTTCTGCTCCATAGTCTGAGGGGAGGGCGTCCCCACCGTAGGCTGCTTGCCTCTGCGGGGACCTTGGGTGTCAAGTGGTAGGAAAGTGATGGTGAGTGGGCAGGCCCAGTTTAGGGAGTAGATAGTAGTGGGGAAGACCGACAATCATGTGTTTACCTACTTCTGCAACAAGGACCAAGAAAGAGTGGTGCCCAGGTCCATGAGTGCCATACAGTAATCACCTCGCCCCAAAGATGACTCTCCAGAGAAAAGATGAGCCTTGGAGTGGCCTTGTGTTGGGTGTAGCCGTAAGAACAGGCAGAGGAGAGGCTTATAGCCATGAGAGGTCAGGCAGCTGTTGAGTGCTGATGTGGGTGCAGACAGCTGATGCTGAGTCTGTACAGACATTTACCATAGCAACGTGAACAATGGCGTCCATGAATAGCGCCATTAGCACACTCATCTTTGAGAAGGGGCCTCACTGCTCTGCATTTGTACAGTGACCTGGAGACCATTAAGTCTGCACAGTAGCTTGAATTTGGCACTTAGTAGCATGACTCTGGGCAAATTATATTGCCCTTCTGGACCTCACTTTCCTCAGGGAAGACCATGGGTCTCAGCCCAGCAAAGCCCCCACCTCCAGGAGAACGTCCCAGGAACTAGATTTCCTTTTGTCTTTAATCAATGCTTGGTACAACAGAACATCTCATGACTTTATAATCTAATCCACAGAACCTGAACTGCTTTTGTAATACAATTGTATGAGAATATTCTGCAGGAACTGGAACGAGCCTTGGACTCTAAACCTTGGGTGAGAAAGAGATGTTTCTTCCTTAGCGTCCTTTCTGCATTCTTCTAGCTCCCTTATCTTGCTTCTGTTACTACCAGGAAACCACCATATATATGTGTATGTGTGTGTGTTTAAAGATTTATTTATTTTTTGTATATAATGCTGTATCTGCACATAAGCCTGCATGCCAGAAGAGGGCATCAGATCACATTATAGATGGTTGGGAGCCACCATGTGGTTGCTGAGAATTGAACTCAGAACCTCTGGAAGGGCAGACAGTGCTCTTAACCACTGAGCCATCTCTCCAGCCACTGTTTTTCCCATTTAAATGAGCAAAATACCCTAAGGAAAATGGGCCACTAGTAGTAAAGAAGATGGACCTACAAGGAAACACTTTTACCAAACCTGCTTCAAATTCCCATTCAGTAGGGGATTGAAAGCAACAGTGGAATTCCAAAAATATGGGCATTTCAAACATCAGAATGTACATATTGCATTATTAGGTCAAGAAACATATATTTCTTAACGGATGTTTTGCACTGTTCTTTGCAACAGAACAAAAACCTAGAACCTGCGTGACTATGGCTATGTGATAGGATATATGTTACATTCATATAAAGGGGTTTTATATGTACTGATAGAGAAAGATATCTGAGTTATTCTGACTAATGCCTCAAAGAGTATTCTTTGGCCTACTATAACAGTTTTGTCTCAGAAACATGGTGTCAGAAGTAAAAGTGGCTTGGAGACTGGGTCACTGGCAGGATAATGAGAAGTTCTTTTTACATAGACTTCAGGAGCAAACAGTGAAAAATTGTTAGAGCAGATGGATGAGACTTGAGGAGCCACACTGAATCGGGATAGAAGTAGTGAGGGTGGAGCTGAAGTTGGCGGTCAGAGGGCTGTCTGATGAGATGGCTTGGTGATTAAGAACACTTGCTGCTCTTTCACAGGACCCGAGTCCAATTCCTAGCACCCACATCGGTTGGCTCACAACCACCTGTAACTCCAGTTCCACCTTGTAGCCTCTTGAAGGTGCGCACACACGTACAAGCACACATGTGCGTGAGCATACATGATCCACTTTAAGGGGAAGAAAAACACATTCTAAGCTTTGCTTTTAAAAATGTGTTAGAAATTGAAGCCCAATGACTTAAGACTTTGAAAAACATAATAGTGATTATAATGATTTAAAGGCAGATTATCTCAGAAACATGAAGACCTTAAAACAGAGTGTCTCAGATCATACACTTCATGCTAAATAATCAATGTTGGGTTTAATGGTTGCTTTTTAAAAGCATGTCTGGGAAGCCAGTCTTCTAGCCCTGGCTAACCCTGATCAGAAGCGACAGAAAGGTATTAAGCTCAGAGAGGAGGTGGAGGAGGCTGTAAAACACAGCTTGTTCTGACTGTCACCAGCTTGAAGCACAGTTATATGCTTGCATTTTATCAAATATGTAGTAAGAAAAGCACAGACTCAGAAGCACACAGTCCTTAAACTGAACAAGTCGAGTGTTTGCAGAGCGTGCATGAAGCCCTGGGGTTGATCTTCAGCATTCATAAACTGTTGATGCCTGTAACCAGCCCCAGCACTTTAAAGATGGAGGCAGAAAGATCAGGA